AGGTAATAATGAACAAGCCCCCTGTGGATTCATACATTTGTCATCACCAGGTTGCCCCTATAATAATACCATCTGACTTCTAAAACACGCTGTTGATAGAGAATTTGAACCGAAACTTTAATTTTCTTTCCAGTACACAAAAAAAGTCTTTGGGCCATACTTAAAATATGTTTTTTTCTTCTTGTTAATTAAACATAAAAACAATACTCAGAACACGGTAAATCGCTACTGAGACGTTCTAGAAAACACTTTTTTTTTGGGGGGGGGAGGGGGAGATCCCCCAAACCCCCCTTACGGGAGGGGGAAGACCACCTCCCATACCCTCCCCCTTCTCGCGCTACGCCCTCGGTGAGAGCTGCCTTCGGCCCCCCCTTTAGGAAATCCTGGATCCGCCCCTGCACTGTACGTTTAAATTTGCTTTTTATTTGCGCTAAACTATGAATTAGAGTTGGTCTTCTAGAGTACACGTATTGGCAGCAGATCCCCTCACGTCATCAAATACTCCACTATCAACGTATCCGTACAGCTGTACATTCCTGTCCCGGTGACCTTTTCGGGGAGCATAATCCATCAGTTTTACTGAACACCACTTAATTAAAAGATGTGACAATAGGTATATATATTCCTGGTGAATCTTACTACAACGATACAGACGGTTTTCAGGCAACACTATATAGTTTCCCGTAGTTCTCAGGTCGCCATAAATCCTGGAACTCATCGGTTATTATCGGCGGATGACACGAATTGAAATAAGAAGTGGTTCCGAACATATTAGCGCCCTTTTACGCTACGTTAGGTGGTGACATATTCCGTTCTCGGCGTCGTTTTGTCCGCCATCATTGTCGGTTCAAATTTCGAGGGCAAATGGAACTACAGGATGACGAAAAGTGTTTTCTTTATAAGAAATATAAAATGCATTATAGAAAATGTGTAGGTGGATATGAAGTGGAAACGAACATACGTTTATCACATGTTTTTATCGAATATTGCGAAAAAATACATGCTTTTCCATGACATTTTAAAGTAAAATTTCATTTCAAGAACTATCTTTGCCACACATAGCAAGGCAGAAGTTACTTTCTGGATATATATACTTTCTGGATATATATACTTTCTGGATACTGTATAAACTTTCTGGATATATATACTTTTTGGATTAAAAGTCCCATCTAGACTTATATTTTCATTCTATCTTTTTTTAATCGCAATTAATGTCATATTAATCTGGATGTCCGTGACGTCATTTCATTATCATTTGATGACATATATGTAACAATAGGCCATATTATAACAGCAATATACGCGAAATATCACATGGGTGTGTTTACTGAATAACACGATAATCTTGTGCTAAATAGATTATATCATCACACACTATAAGAAGGAACAAAAAACGTGTCGGCAGTGGAAACCTCGTTGTTTAGAAAACATCTGCCGGTTTAAGTATTATAATAAGAAGAACAATATATTTCTAGTGTTTTAACGTCTTTGTGCAGTTGTTTGTATCACTCCGTATATATTTAAATTTGCTCTTTATCCTTCCTTTTTAATGCATTGCGAAGGCAAATGCTGTTATGAGACTATAACAACATTTGCTATTGCATCGATCTCTATTGTGACGTCATCAATTTCATGGTTGTAACACTTCATTTGCTGTTCAAAAACGGCACCAAATAGCTAAATAAAGCATAACTACATGTACTCTATCAAAATGTTAATATAAATAATTTCATGGTTCTATAACACACATTTATATTGCTGACAAACTTACATAAAGCCCATTAAGTTTGTCATCAATAGCAATGTGTGTTATATAGTGATTGAACGGGCTTCATGTTTACTATGGATGTAACCGTTTTACGTTCATACAGGCATGAAAATGAAAAAAACAAAACGCCGTTCAATCCATATGCTTACATTTTAACTACAGAACAATTGTTTTATTTTAGTTATTTGTTTTTAAATGATTTATTTGTTTACAGCGTTTTGTCACGGAATTAGATTAGATTGTTAGTAAAGTCCGTGGTTCAAACGTATTCTCTGATTTTTCGATATTATCAACGGAAGCGTTTTATAATTCTCAAAGTTCAAACTGCATTCACCGTTCTGTTAATAGTTTACAAACAAAAAGCTAATTAAGAAATACCTAATTAATGTAGACACGTTGACTCTTCATGGACATAACATAAACTTTTATAATAATCATAACCTGTCTTATGTGTGGTAAACATGTGCATCGACTGCGTCGTAGGGCAAAGGCAAGGCCAAGGCCAAGGTCACGCGCTACAAAGTTCAGAGATCGACTATACACCGGTGTAATAATGGAGCGTTGGACAGGGCGTGTAGCTCTTATTACGGGTGCTTCAGTAGGAATAGGGGCTGCTCTGGCCAGGAGACTAGTCCAGCATGGAATGTTAGTGATTGGCTGTGCACGAAATGTACAGAAGATCCAGGTACGTTTAAGAATATTTAAAAAATATATGTTGTACCTAGTGTGTACATGTACATTGTCGAAGGGAAACAACTCTTACAAAAATGTTAGAAAGTACAATGGCGTGAATACCCTTCTATAGAGCTTGAAAAAAATTCTACTACTAAACTAGGCCCTAGAAGCAATCTCTCGAAATCTGTGAAATCCTTTTAGTCTGATTATTACCAAGTTAAACACGAATTTTTATATGAATAATATTAAATTTTGTACTTCACAAACTAGATTTTGATTTAGAATTCTACATATATCGGACTAAAATTTTCAAGAAGATTTTTTTTATTCTTTCCTTTTTATAATCCCGTCGGTAGACAGTACGTATTATGTTTTCACGCGGGTGGGTGGGCTCTGCTCAATAACTTGAGTGATTCTGAATGGATTCATTTCAAACTTCATCGGATGGTTCATTGCTATGAAAGTTAGGACAAGTTCGATAACCAAAATTATTTGCTGATTATTTACACAGTTATGGCCCTTTGAAGAATTGCCGAAACAGTTTCCGCTCAATAGCTTCAGTGATTTTGAATGTATTAATTTCAAACTTCATAGGATGGTTCATTGCTATAAAAGCTCAGACAAGTTCGATCACCAAAAATATTCGCTGGTTATTTACGGAGTTATGGCCCTTTGTAGAATTGCAGAAACAGTTTCCGCTCAATAACTTCAGTAATTTTGAATAGATTCATTTCAAACTTTGTAAGAGGGTTCATTTCTATGAAAGCTTGGGATAACCGAAATTATTCGCTGGTTAATTACGGAGTTATGGCCTTTTCTAGAATTGCCGAAACAGTTTCCGCTCAATAACTTGAGTAATTTTGAATGGATTCATTTCAAACTTCATAGGATGGTTCATTGCTATGAAAGCTCGGACAATTATATAACCAAAATTATTTGCTGGTTATTTACGGAGTTATGGCCTTTTCCAGAATTGCCGAAACAGTTTCTGCTCAATAACTTCAGTAATTTTGAATAGATTCATTTCAAACTTCGTAGGAAGGTTCATTTCTATGAAAGCTTGTACAAGTTTGATAACCATTATCCGCCTGTTTTTAAGGGGCCCTTTATAGAATTGACGTAACGGTTTCTGCTCAATAACTTAAAGTTTATTTCTATGAAAGCTTACAATAACCAAAACTATTTGCCGGTTATTTACGGAGTTATGGCCCTTTGTAGAATTGCCGAAACAGTTTCCACTCAAAAACTTGAGTACTTTTTAATGGATTAATTTCAAACTTGGTAGGAAGGTTCATTGCCATGTAAGCTCGGACAAGCTTGATAAAATTTATGCACTTATGGCCCTTTGTGGCAAACTGCTCATTCTTCATCTGACGGGCGTATCATGTACCGTCTCGGGGAACTCTTGTTTACGATTGATACAGACGGTTAATTAAAAAAGAAATTCATAAATATATGTATATATGATTGAAATTGTTTAGTGTATGCTTGAGCATGTATGCTACACCACTGCTGTAGAGGATCTGGTTTTGTGCAATCAGCATTGTTAGCTTCATGAGAAGTTGTTACATCTCCAATGTAAAAACATGTCAGTACTTTTGCAGCATTTGATAACATTTTTGGCAATGGGGACTTAACTTGGATACTGCTTTAGTACATCTGTGTGGTTATTGTTTTATTATTTGTAGCATTCGAGGCTGTGAACTATTTCTTGATACATGATTTTCACACCTTTATTGATATTTAGGAAAAATGACAAGCCTAAAACAAATCTCCTGCGCAAACATGTGCCCAGATGAAGCATTTTAATACACTCTACTTTAAAACATACATGTGAGATAGCTAAATTAACGTTTGCATAAAGTCATGATCGCCTTCTACTTCTGTGCTGGTGAATACTCTTAAGCAGTGGCAAAGTGTGGGGGCTGGGGAAGCTAGAGGCTGGTGGTTTGATCCTTGGCAGAAGTACATCATACTTTTATTCTGGTTAGCCTACAGAGGGCGTCTGTGGCCCTATATCTGTGGTGTTAGGGACCAGAGTTAGAGCACAGGTCTAACAACACACCTAAAGTATACAATTGTATTATAAGTGTATTGACAGACAAGGCTAGTACCTGTGGTAAGAGCCTGGCATTGGTACAAACAGAGAAGTATTATAAGTGTATTGACAGACCAGGCTAGTACCCGTGGTTAGAGCCTGGCGTTGGTACAAACAGAGAAGTATTATAAGTGTATTGACAGACCAGGCTAGTACCCGTGGTTAGAGCCTGGCGTTGGTACAAACAGAGAAGTATTATAAGTGTATTGACAGACCAGGCTAGTACCCGTGGTTAGAGCCTGGCGTTGGTACAAACAGAGAAGTATTATAAGTGTATTGACAGACCAGGCTAGTACCCGTGGTTAGAGCCTGGCGTTGGTACAAACAGAGAAGTATTATAAGTGTATTGACAGACCAGGCTAGTACCCGTGGTTAGAGCCTGGCGTTGGTACAAACAGAGAAGTATTATAAGTGTATTGACAGACCAGGCTAGTACCCGTGGTTAGAGCCTGGCGTTGGTACAAACAGAGAAGTATTATAAGTGTATTGACAGACCAGGCTAGTACCCGTGGTTAGAGCCTGGCGTTGGTACAAACAGAGAAGTATTATAAGTGTATTGACAGACCAGGCTAGTACCCGTGGTTAGAGCCTGGCGTTGGTACAAACAGAGAAGTATTATAAGTGTATTGACAGACCAGGCTAGTACCCGTGGTTAGAGCCTGGCGTTGGTACAAACAGAGAAGTATTATAAGTGTATTGACAGACCAGGCTAGTACCCGTGGTTAGAGCCTGGCGTTGGTACAAACAGAGAAGTATTATAAGTGTATTGACAGACCAGGCTAGTACCCGTGGTTAGAGCCTGGCGTTGGTACAAACAGAGAAGTATTATAAGTGTATTGACAGACCAGGCTAGTACCCGTGGTTAGAGCCTGGCGTTGGTACAAACAGAGAAGTATTATAAGTGTATTGACAGACCAGGCTAGTACCCGTGGTTAGAGCCTGGCGTTGGTACAAACAGAGAAGTATTATAAGTGTATTGACAGACCAGGCTAGTACCCGTGGTTAGAGCCTGGCGTTGGTACAAACAGAGAAGTATTATAAGTGTATTGACAGACCAGGCTAGTACCCGTGGTTAGAGCCTGGCGTTGGTACAAACAGAGAAGTATTATAAGTGTATTGACAGACCAGGCTAGTACCCGTGGTTAGAGCCTGGCGTTGGTACAAACAGAGAAGTATTATAAGTGTATTGACAGACCAGGCTAGTACCCGTGGTTAGAGCCTGGCGTTGGTACAAACAGAGAAGTATTATAAGTGTATTGACAGACCAGGCTAGTACCCGTGGTTAGAGCCTGGCGTTGGTACAAACAGAGAAGTATTATAAGTGTATTGACAGACCAGGCTAGTACCCGTGGTTAGAGCCTGGCGTTGGTACAAACAGAGAAGTATTATAAGTGTATTGACAGACCAGGCTAGTACCCGTGGTTAGAGCCTGGCGTTGGTACAAACAGAGAAGTATTATAAGTGTATTGACAGACCAGGCTAGTACCCGTGGTTAGAGCCTGGCGTTGGTACAAACAGAGAAGTATTATAAGTGTATTGACAGACCAGGCTAGTACCCGTGGTTAGAGCCTGGCGTTGGTACAAACAGAGAAGTATTATAAGTGTATTGACAGACCAGGCTAGTACCCGTGGTTAGAGCCTGGCGTTGGTACAAACAGAGAAGTATTATAAGTGTATTGACAGACCAGGCTAGTACCCGTGGTTAGAGCCTGGCGTTGGTACAAACAGAGAAGTATTATAAGTGTATTGACAGACCAGGCTAGTACCCGTGGTTAGAGCCTGGCGTTGGTACAAACAGAGAAGTATTATAAGTGTATTGACAGACCAGGCTAGTACCCGTGGTTAGAGCCTGGCGTTGGTACAAACAGAGAAGTATTATAAGTGTATTGACAGACCAGGCTAGTACCCGTGGTTAGAGCCTGGCGTTGGTACAAACAGAGAAGTTTTTTAAGTGTATTGACAGACCAGGCTAGTACTTGTGGTTAGAGCCACAAAGAAGAAGTGTGACAGGCTTTGATTTTACATGTAAGAATGGTTGCCTTTTTGCTTTGCTTTCCTGGACTTGTAAAGCAGTGGATTGCAAATTATACTACTTTTAGTGACTCTGGTTTGAGCTCCATTTGAGACACACTACTTATCAGCTTCTCTCCTTTTACACATGGTCACTTCATCAAAAGTTTTTTGTCTGGTGATAGAAGCATGTGGTTTGTAGGAACATAGGGATCCCCATAGTGGGATACCTAGTATAGAACCAATACTAGCAAAATACATTTGTAATAAACTATTTATCATATAGCTAATAGGCTACAGGCTACGTACATGACAGTACTGAATAACAAAGAAAAGTCCTTCACATCCATGTGCAGTATATAGAATCCACTCAGTTACGGTAATGTAGTTAATAAGTATTACATTTTCTTGCATTCTTTGTATTTAATCCCTTTCCCTCAGTTCCTGAATGTAAATGTTGATTTTATATATGCTCAGGAACTAGCCCTCGAGTTGAAGAGTGAGAAGGGCACTCTGACGGCCATCAAGTGTGATGTCACTAAGGAAGAAGAGGTGCTGGCCATGTTCACCAAGGTCAAGGCTGACTTTGGAGGTGTTGACATCTGTGTCAGCAATGCTGGCCTTGCACACGACTCCCCAATACTGACAGGGGACACACAACAATGGAGGGAGATGTTGGATGTAGGTACCTCACTCCATGTCACATGACATATACTGTATACCAGGAGGTTTTCACTGCAGTTCAACTTTCACCTTTTTGCCCTTTGTAATGAATGTGAAATTATCATTACAGCAAATAGATACATCATTATACACTTAATAAAATATGGAGGGCAAGATTAACTCTGCTAAACCTGAGTTTTAGTGGCAAAGAGAGAAAGTTTGACTGGGCTAGCTTAACGTTTCCTGGTCTGTTGTAGGTCACCCTGACTGCCATCACATGACACGTGACCTTAGTCTGTGTCACATGACATAGGTGTCACTGGCTGATAGTATAACTCAAAGAGTTATGTGACAAAGCTAAACAAATTTAGTCTTCGTAACATGGGAAGGCAACAGTTATGGATAAAATGGTTTGATGTGGTATTTAATGCTTTGTGAATAAATGTTAAAGACTTGAAATATTTATCCACCAAAATGTTAATCTAATATTAGCAATAAAAAAGGGAATGTTTTTGTAATATTTAAGGTACGTTTTTTTCTATTTATCAGGTGAATGTGCTTGGTCTGGCAATATGTTCCAGAGAGGCTGTCAAACAGATGCGAGAGAAAGGGGTAGATGACGGCCACCTTATTCTTCTCAACAGGTAGTTACACTGTGATGGTTTTTCTTTGTAACATAAATGGATGCTGGTTAGTTTGAAATGGCAAAAACACAGATAAGCAATAACATTTTTTTTAATGGAGAATAAATCATAAATAAGGATGCATATGGGTCAAAGTTACAGTTTAGAATACATTTTGTAGTGTATGAAATGAATTTGTCATCAGAACCAATGTTGGATGTGACGTGAATATTTTAAGGTAATAAGGTAATGTAATGTACTTAAATGTTTGCTGCTACTTTGTTTTTCTGGCAGTATGTCTGGTCATCGAATTATCAACAGCAGTCCCGGACATTTCTACTCTGCCACCAAGTTCATGGTCACAGCCTTAACTGAGTGTCTGAGACAGGAACTCAATGACCTCAGGTCTCACATCAGGGTCACAGTAGGTACCACTGTCACATGTATGTCTGATATCACATGATGTATGTCTGACATAACATGATGTATGTCAGGTATCACTTGATGTATGTCAGACATCACATGATGTATGTCTGATATCACATGATGTATGTCTGATATCACATGATGTATGTCAGGTATCACATGATGTATGTCAGACATCACTTGATGTATGTCAGGTATCACATGATGTATGTCAGACATCACATGATGTATGTCTGATATCACATGATGTATGTCTGATATCACATGATGTATGTCAGGTATCACATGATGTATGTCAGGTATCACATGATGTATATCAGACATCACATGATGTATGTCTGATATCACATGATGTATGTCAGATATCACTTGACGTATGTCAGGTATCACATGATGTTTGTCTGATATCACTTAACGTATTTCAGATATCACATGATGTATGTCAGATATCACATGATGTATTTCAGATATATCCATTGATGTTTGTCCCTTAATAAGGTCATCATGTGCACTAGCCTATTATATACCACTCTACTGTCACATGATAACTTCAATTCAGGAAAATTGTTCAGGATACCAGATATTAGATATGTAAGAAAAGCTAAGTTGAAGTTTTTTCCCCCTGTATTTCAAAGCATGATTTCTGGTAACATGCACTTCTTGTTGTAATACATTCAAAACAGATATATAATCCTAGTATAGCTGTCGCATTGCATCTTCATAGGCAGGATAACTAAAAAAGTCACATGTGCTTCATAAGTTTGACTATCGGTGACCAGATAGCTCTTGTAGTTTGGGTAGAGTTAAGAGGTCCCAGTCTGACCTTTTGTTGGTTAGAGAGTTCGGGTAGAGTCTGGAGGTCTCGGTCTGACCTCTGTCATTAGAGAGTTTGGGTAGAGTCTGGAGGTCTCGGGTCTGACCTCTGTCGGTTAGAGAGTTCATGTAGAGTTTGGAGGACAGTCTGACCTCTGTTGGTTAGAGAGTTCAGGTAGAGTCTGGAGGTCTCGGTCTGACCTCTGTTGGTTAGAGAGATCGGGTAGAGTCTGGAGGTCTCGGTCTGACCCCTGTTGGTTAGAGAGTTCAGGCAGAGTTTGAAGGACAGTCTGACCTCTGTCGGTTAGAGAGTTAGGGTAGAGTTTTGAGGTCCCAGTCTGACCCTGTTGTATTTTCCTCTCCTGTATTGATATTATCTATTCCTTCTCATCCAGGGCATCAGTCCAGGGATGGTTTACACTGAGTTCCAAGGTAGGATGTTCAAGGACGTGAACAAGGGAGACCAAATATGTACTGCCTACAAGGTAAGGAGACATCTTCAAGTGCCCTAGTACAAAAAAATCATACTACACTCCTAAAGTTTGCAATTATGATACAGAAAATGTCTTTCATCGACATATCTGTGATAAAATTTCACCTACATTTGCTAATATGTTTCAGACCCTGGAAGCTGATGATGTGGTAGATTCCATTATATACGCAATAGGAACTCCAGGTCATGTTCAGGTATATATACTTGCCAGGAAAATATGTTGTATAGAGTTTCTCACGTTTGGACAGTGTAAGGGAGACCACCCTAGTTACATATCTAGTGCCGAGATTCTTTGTAGGTTATTTACCCTCATAAATTTTGTATTGTACATGTCAAAGATTAGGTTTCCATGATAGTTTTGAGGGAAGGTACACATACATATGAATGGGTAAGAGGTATTTAAGCTGGCTTTTGGCTTACATTTATAGTTTCAAGTAAAGGAAAATAACCTCTCACAAGTTAGCTCACTTGTGTGTGTATATAGTTAGCTCACTAGTGTGTGTGTATAGTTAGCTCACTAGTGTGTGTATATAGTTAGCTCACTAGTGTGTGTATATAGTCAGCTCACTAGTGTGTGTATATAGTTAGCTCACTAGTGTGTCTATATAGTTAGCTCACTAGTGTGTGTGTATAGTTAGCTCACTAGTGTGTGTATATAGTTAGTTCACTAGTGTGAGTATATAGTTAGCTCACTAGTGTGTGTATATAGTTAGCTCACTACTGTGTGTATATAGTCAGCTCACTAGTGTGTGTATATAGTTAGATCACTGGTTTGTGTATTTAGTTAGCTCACTAGTGTGTGTATATAGTTAGATCACTGGTTTGTGTATTTAGTTAGCTCACTAGTGTGTGTATATAGTTAGATCACTGGTTTGTGTATATAATTAGCTCACTAGTGTGTGTATATAGTCAGCTCACTAGTGTGAGTATATAGTTAGCTCACTAGTGTGTGTATATAGTTAGATCACTGGTTTGTGTATTTAGTTAGCTCACTAGTGTGTGTATATAGTTAGATCACTGGTTTGTGTATATAATTAGCTCACTAGTGTGTGTATATAGTCAGCTCACTAGTGGTGTATATAGTTAGATCACTGGTGTGTATATAGTTGGCTCACTTGTGTGTGTATATAGTTAGCTCACTTGTGTGTGTATATAGTTAGCTCCCTTGTATGTGTATATAGTTAGCTCACTTGTATGTGTATATAGTTAGCTCACTGGTGTGAGTATATTGTTAGCTCACTAGTGAGTATATATAGTTAGCTCACTAGTGGGGTATATAGTTAGATCACTGGTGTGTATATAGTTGGCTCACTTGTGTGTGTATATAGTTAGCCCACTTGTGTATGTATATAGTTAGCTCACTAGTGGGTGTATATAGTTAGCTCACTGGGGTGTGTATATAGTTAGCTCACTTGTGTATGTATATAGTTAGCTCACTAGTGTGTGTATATAGTTAGCTCACTGGTGTGTGTATATTGTTAGCTCACTAGTGTGTATATATAGTTAGCTCACTAGTGTGTGTATATAGTTAGCTCACTTGTGTGTGTATATTGGTAATGATATTACTGCTGTGTGTTACAGGTCCACGACATCCTACTTCGCCCTACAGAGCAGAGTTCATAGAGGAACCAGTCTAATGCTCAGCTAGTTATAATAGTACTAGACGGAAAGGACCTTGGTCTTTGACTCAGCTAGTTATAATAGTACTAGACAGAAAGGACCTTGGTCTTTGACTCAGCTAGTTATAATGGTACTAGACAGAAAGGACCTTGGTCTTTGACTCACCTAGTTATAATAGGACTAGACGGAAAGGACCTTGGTCTTTGACTCAGCCATACAGAAGTTACTGAGGGAGTTTACATGTAACTTGGTTTTAATACTAGAGAACAAAATGTTTAAGGGGAGCAATTTAAGTCTTTGAGTAAGCTAACCTTAACATTAAACTGCAATCTAGAGTGCTTAAGTGTCTGAAGGAGCTGAACTTGATCTAGGACAACAGTTTGATTCATTATATAGAAAAACTATATACATGTACATGTACATTATGTACATCAATTTCAAAACGTTTTAAGTCCTGATAATCGGACAAATACAATTTATTTTATATATTAAACAGGTGAATAAAAAATTGTTGCGATTTTTTATTGAAATTGTATTCACCCTCATTTTGATGAGGAGGTGGCGTTATTCTTACCCTCAAGAGGATGTTGATGTTAAAACAAACTAGAAGCTTAGCTTTTGGGAGCGAACTACATGCATATCATGGATTGGGTCAACAGTGTGTAAATGGGACTTATCATATCCATTCACTGCACTTGATGTCACCTTTAGAGTACTCCTTCCGTTTTAGACCCAAAATAAGGACTCCATAAACAATCTGTCTGTAAACTTTTCTGCAAACTGCAAAGTCTGGTCAACGACATAGATTCGCTTTCCATCTTTCTGTCAACAAATGTGTTTGTTGAGCTGTCGGATGAATACAGCACATGACAAACAGCGCCGTCACATAAAGATTGCAATTCTGAGACCCAATACCCCAGGAGATACAGAGGAAATTGATGAGCAAAAGAAAGACAGTGAACAGTATCGATGGGAAAGATGAAGTAACACATACACACGAGTGGGACTATAACTCCAGACAAAAAAAGGACGTATTTGGTGGATACCTAAAACTGCTACATAGGGTCACCGATTTAATTGTGGGTTCGAATGGGGAAAGTGCTAGAACCTGTAAATACCATTGCAAAGTCTCCAGCTTAACTTTTTGAAATTAATCATATTTGAGTATATTTTCATTCACTAAAACCTACATTCTGTCTACCTAGCATAAACTGTTCTGATGGTACACCATATAGCCGCAACCTGAGGATTGGACAACGATGTTCAGCAGTTCTAGGGTTATTGTATCTATCAGCTGAATTTGATGTCATTGATGATTGATCATGGCATATTGTTCATACTGGCTTCATTCAAAACTGGTTGGATGCATCTGCAAATATAAACCTCCCCTTCATTAAAATGCTTATGATATCCAAATGAATATGATCGTCAGACTTTGGGATAAATGGGACAATTTATCGGTTCGTTTTGAGGTATGCTTGTTAAATGTGTTTCAATACTTCTGTGTTTACTCCCGAACAAGAAAAAAGAGCTTACGTTCGTTATGCTCAGAGTTGGTTCCGGTGCCACGAAGACTGCACCATCTCTGAAGAACTCGGGTGTTTTCTGTAGTTCAGAGACCATTGGAAAACAAGACATCAGTTACTAAATAATTTACTTTCAAGTCGGGAATGGTGTGCTTCTCATACTTTTAGTTCATGGTCATATAAGGAAGTGTCACCATGTATGCATGTTAACGTTATTTGCCCCCTAAGCTTGCTATGTGGCGCGTAGTCCGGATTATTCTAACGTTTTATCGAATAAAACATGTGTGCGAAAGTGACGAGTTGTTTCTAAAATATCAGTTTGAAGTGCGCTCCGGGCGCGGGTCGCATATTTCCCGCATATTATAGAGAGCAGGAGTTCTGACGTTAATCGACGACAGACCGATATGAAAAAAGTTGATAAAACGTCAGAATAATTCGGACTATGTGGCGCCGATCTAATGGATCTTTAGATTGCTTCCTCAGTAAAACAATATACACCATGCCCAAGGCATATACTGCAAAGTATTCCACTCAACAACATAGGAAAAGAAAGAAAATGTTTGCAATACAGGACACTGTAGAGCAAATCCCCAATTATGCAGGGGTTCCTCCATTGGTTGCAGCAGGTATATTCTTTTCTTATAAATTCAACGACCTATAGGTTTTCACTTAAACGTAACCCTGAATTAATTAATTGGTTTAGTAGACAAATCAGATGTCGGACCGTCACATTGAAAGTCTAGCTGTTGTTACCGAACATCCCCGAAGGATAATAGAAAGAGTGCGGTAAGTTTACGAAGAAAAAGACATGCATTTTCATTGGTTAAAAGAAATTGTTTAATATCCCATGTTACATTCAAGAAATTCAAGTGTTCGCTATGAATGCGGGACGCACTGTACATGTACATGTTTTGCTTCAATTGGGACTACGGCTGCGTTAGCGCCAATATTCATAGGGTGGGTTATTTGTCAGCCTATTTTAAGGGCAGGCGTCATTTTCACATGGGGTAAAAAAAAAAGATAAATATGCAACCGCCGAGGAATATTGACAATATAATGTAATTAAGGCTCGGCGTAAGTTTTTGTTTTACTTCGTACCTCATAATTCTAAAACCAATCTCAGCTCATTAGACATTGTAAGGGAGGGAGGCAATTCAGTTTTCACCGACATTGTAAGGGAAATAACCTTTCCTGTCTTAGTTGAAAAAAATAGTGCTAAAATGTCCAGTGGTAGGTAGCCAGATACTAAATGCAACGGGTTATACGTCTCTGATTGATTTTTTTCATTGTGTGATCATCATTCCGGTTTCCACGGATTCATTTGTCACACATTTGGTCTTACTATGTCATGTTGCACAAAATGAAGTTGGATACCAGTCTTGGCCATGGTACTTTTTCAAAAGGACTCTATCTAAAGTGTTTTGCTCCTTATTTTTTAGGTAAAATCCCCAAGTGGAATTAATCATCGATATATTATCCTAATTTTGGTTGTTTATTTTATTAAATTTTCTTCCGAAAAAAATATTTTAGTTTGGTTCCTAGTAAATAAATAAACTCCTAATGTCTATCTTGCGTGAGAAAAAAATTATCGGAATAAAACTTGAATCTTTAAATATATACTAAAGCTGTAAAAAAACACACCACTTGGCAGGGTATGGTCATCCGACCCTGATAGAGGTATGTGTGCTTTTGACGTAACAATTATAAAGCTGTATGCATGATGAACGCACTCAAACATTTGATAAATGCATGTTTATTTAATTATTTTTTTCAATGTGATAACATTCATTTATTGATATAACTTTTCCCCAAAGTTTCCTGATTTGAAAACATTAATTAAAATGTGATGGTTATTGTTATTCTTGCAAATGTATTTGATTAAACCTTTTTTAATTGTAGCACCAATACTACGGATCGCTGATCTAAAGGTACAAACGTCTCTATCATATGGTCATATCATTGATGCTGTGTGTGATATCATTTATTGTCAACAATTCAACACCGAGTTCGAAACTGTTTGAGGTGGAGGGGTGTAGCTAAGACAGTGTAATACACAACTACAATCACAAGTTTGTGACGATCGGAATATGTGCACATACCGGTTACAGTGTGCACTTGAGGGTTGCCGTTACTTGCATATCTACTATTTTTAAGTCTAGGGCAGAGAGGTGTCACGTGCGCTGGTGACCCCCAATTGGATCCGCCTCTGTCGCTGGGTCACTTGACGACTTCTTTTTACCGGCCTATCAGACTTATGCCCCCCCCCCCCCTCGGGCTCCCCTCCCAACACAAACTACCACATCTTGCGATGAAAAGTTGGAGACTGCAAGTGGCCCAACTCTTGATTCCTTATACCAACTGATTATCCAGTGAATATAGTTTTTTCTACTGTAACAATTATCTTTTTGTTAGATTTATCACGGACTTAGATCTAATCTAATTCCGTGGGTTAACCGTACAAAATAAAGAATAGTCATTGTCAGTTGTACATGTGACGTCACGGACACCCTGAATGATTATTATAATAAATATATTCAACAAAAGGCACATATACAAAGCATTACTTATACATTTTCATGAGATGTTATATATTTCATAAAACAACCAAGGTTGACACATAAATAAGTGACTGTTATTACTAGTTGGCACATAATTAAGATATTCATTTACAATTTTACCACGGAATTAGATTCGATTAGATTATCTAAGTCCGTGATTTTACTAATAGAATTATTACAGTCTTACTTTTTGAATGTTCACCTTTGCATGTATTATAACAAATGGAATAAGACTGAATTGAAAATAAAACTTACAATTGTAAATCACTGTTAAGTTAATTACTTGAAAACAATTACGCTTGCCTTTAATAAATTGGATAAACCAGAGACATGTTATAGCGAGGATGAGCATTTCTTTGCCGGGATATGGATACAGAAAAACATAATAACATATTCTTACTTTCTTCATGACCAACAGTTCACGTTACAGTATATTTCGTTTGCGGACTAATCCCGGTGAGCTTAGATTTCCACGTGGTGTTTGTTTTGTTGTTGGCCCTACTCGAGCATGTTATGGTTCCAAATCGTGTTGGCCAATAACAGAGCGGATACCTTGAGATTGATATTTATAAGTTCCGCCCACATGGGCAGTCAAAATTCCTGCAAGTCTGTCGCATCAACCTACTACAAACGACATTGAGATTAAAATAATGGAGGACATAGCTAAAGAAGAAACCCTTCAGCTTAGGAATAGACATGTCGGGTAAGTTTATTTAAATCAACCACAGTCCGGCACACTGCATCGCCTTTTGGTATTATTCTGTTACATATGCAATGACGTAGCTAGGTCTGCATTTTCACTAACGTTGTTATGTTCATGCGTGTTGACATCGATTTGACCCTTATATTATGTTGACGTCTGCTTGTATTCATTGTTCGATAACTTAATCTTATTCTAAATGTTTGCTTGGCGTTTTACAAATGAGTTATAACGTTAATGATTTAACACGTACATAAATATAAGGTTACACACACAAGACAAAGACACAAGTGTAGTTATAATAGAGCAGACGGAAATGTAAGGGCTGAAGGCCGGACGGCTGATATGGAGGCTTGGTACAATGTATGAACTACGCAACTGGACGGATCTAGAGGGTTTCAGGTCACACCTACCCTTCAACCTACTCCTATAACATAAGAGGCCACTGTTCGGCCTTTTTTTTCTATCGGATATGATTTTGCGGACTGTTACACGCGTGCCTATCAAAAGTATCTCGCCGTGTAAACCTCGCACACTGTTGGAGTACCCTCAATCCAGAATATCCCCCCCCCCTCACTGGATTCCAGACTGAAAGTGGCACTGTATTTACATGTGTAACCATTTATATTTTACCGCACACCATGGCCAATACCTGACAGTATATATAAACTTTACAAGTAACATCATTTTATATTCTACAATATTGGTAATGTAAATACACTTTTGGAGGATATGGTTCAAAACCAGGTCTGGCCTCACTGCATTTTTACACTCTGAACATTTTCGTTGTTTTTCTTTTTTTTGTTCACATACAATGATAATCAATATAATGTAAACAAAAAAGATACTGATTATTTGTTCCTAAAGGTTAAAAAAAGAATATTTTTTTTGCAGTGGTACAGGGATTCGTAAGGAAAATTGCAGAATATACAAATTAAAATTAAAATTAAAACGGCAACATGCTTCACATTATTAGCTCACCTGTCCTTCGGACCAGGTGAGCTTATGCCATGCCGTGTCGTCCGTCCGTCATCCGTCCGTCAACAATTTCATTAAACGACTTCTTCTTAACCACTGATTGGAATTTAACTAAATTTGACTGGAAGCATCCCTAGATGGTGGTGATTCAAAATTGTACAAACAGTGAGGCTGACCCCCCAGGGGGCTGAGGGGCGGGGCAAAAAGGGGGCAATTTGGCTATATTGCTTTAAGCGACTTCTCCTCTGTAACTAAGAGATATATATATCAACCATATTTGACTGGAAGCATCCCTAGGTGGTGGGGATTCAAAATTTTACAAATGGTGGGGCTGACCCCCCAGGGGACTGAGGGGCGGAGCCAAAAAGGGGCAATTAGGCTATATTGCTATAAACGACTTCTTCTGTAGAACTATGCCATGGAAATCGATCATATTTGATCGGAAGCATTCATTGGAGGCAGGGATTCAAAATTGTACAAATGGTGGGGCTGACCCCCCGGGCTAAGGGGTGGGGCCAAAAAAAGTATATTACATGGAAATGGTTGAGTTCCCCACAATATAACCATATATACAATTGCTGAGGACATAGTCCCTAGGCCATAACTTTAAAACGGTTGAGATCCCCACCCCAAAACTATATATATACAAATGCTGGGCATAAAGAGACGAATGCAGTCATTATATTAGAATAGACCCTAGGGTCTGACCGAACCCCTATAGGGACCTGGTTTCTTAGTCACAGCTTGAAAACAGTTGAGATCCCCACCCTATAACCATATATATAATAGCTGAGTATAAAGAGATGAATGCACTTATACTTCCAGGATGGCCTTGGGGACTGCCCCATCCTTGGAGATTTAACCCCTGGGTCATAACTTTGAAATGGTTAAGATCCCCACCCCAAAACTATATATATACAAATGCTGGGCATAAAGAGACGAATGCAGTCATTATATTAGAATAGACCCTAGGGTCTGACCGAACCCCTATAGGGACCTGGTTTCTTAGTCACAGCTCGAAAACAGTTGAGATCCCCACCCTATAACCATATATATAATAGCTGAGTATAAAGAGGTGAATGCACTTATACTTCCAGGATGGCCTTGGGGACTCCCCCATCCTTGGAGATTTAACCCCTGGGTCATAACTTTCAAATGGTTAAGATCCCCATCCCAAAACTATATATACAATTGTTGGGCATAAAGAGACGAATGCAGTCATGAAATTTGAATTGATCCTGGGGTCTGGCCACAACCCTAGGGACCTAGTTTCTGAGTTACAGCTTGGAAACAGTTGAGATCCCCACCCCTTAACCATACATAAAATTGCTGGGCATGAAAAATCTAATACAGATATGCTACAAGGATTGGCCTTGGGGTCTGGCATATTCCCTTTGGAGAATGTTTTGTCATGATTTCTTAGATATCCAGGTGAGCGATACAGGCCCTCTGGGCCTCTTGTTTATAAACAATGTTGGTCAGTCGGTTTGCAATCCTGTCTTACAGTGACATTAACTAAGTAGATACTGTCATCACTGAACAGCACTATCATGTGCCCAGTTTCTATGTCTGTGGAATTATAGCAAACAATAACAACCTACACGTACATTATTAAGAATAAAGAGGGAAATTCACACAAAAACATATAAGGATAATTTTGAACATGATAATTTCAAAGACCTCAGTTAAAACATCAGAACTTACATTTGTATATATGTTATTGGTATACATGTATATTGTCCATTGGCTATATAAAAATACATAGCCAGGTTAACGTAGTCCAAAATAAGGCACTAAGGCTGGTGTCTTTCTAAAAATAGCTCACTGGACTTGTAACATGTCAATCTCATAATTTGCGATCCAACTGAGTGCTGAAAAATGACTCATTTTTTTTTTTTTTATACTTAGGTCATGCAGAACTTTATTTCTCTTCTTCTAGCTGTTGAGAGGAATTCTGACCTCAAATAAAGATAGATGTTGTCATGCGAAACCACTAAAATAATAGTAAAATCCACTGGTAATATATTTTAGCAATAAATAAAAAAGAAATCAAAGGCTAAGTTACCTTGATCGATAAATGAACTTTAGATGATGTGCCATTTGATAAAATTCTGTGATTATATGAATGTGCTAGACATGTTATTAACATTGAAGCTGAAAAGTACAATAATTTTATGGTCAAAGGTCTATGGTTTTACACATATATGCTGGTAAAATATGTTACGCGTACGTTTTACTATGATTTTTGTACTTTCCCGTAGCAACCATCATCTTCTTGTGAGGCCGGTATACCTCTCCACACATGTTAAAGAGAAATAAAACCATGCATGACCTAGGTATATAAATTATCGTCAAATAACATGTCATTTCGTAACATTCAGTTGGGCTGCTTAAGAGATTGACATGTTACAAATCTTGTGAGCAACTTTTATATATATATCAACCTTAATGCTGTATTGTGACTTCATTAAGCTGGTTATGTACCTTTTTAATAGCTCATGTACAAGTTCAATATATTTAAATTACATAAAAATATTCCGANGGGGGTTGAAATTTAGGGTGACTATTACATCTTTTAGGGGGCTTGTTGAACCTTAACATGGATAACCAGACCAAGGCAACCACTTGACAGTTACATTATTTTGCTAAGCATGTATCAAGGAAATGTGGCATACAAGTGTTGCATTGAAAACTTACCTTTTCCAGGTGTTTGTAGCCCACCTGGCGGGAAGACATGACCTTAACCTACTTTAAAGATCACAAGTGTCAAATGTGTTTAAAACCTTTAAGCAACTTAATGAAAAACCAGGAGGCCCAGACTACTGATACTCGGCCATTAGGTACATGTGACAGATTGCTATAAGGATCCTCAAATAAATGACCTTGACTTGCGTTGAGGTCACAGGGGTCAAATATGTAAAAAATTAAAAACAACTTCTTCTGACTAACCAGGAGGCCCATAGTAATGATACTTGGCCAGTAGGTATACCTGGGACAGAGTGCTGTTAAGTTTTCCCAAATAAATGACTGACCTACGTATACTTTTACAGTCAGAGGGGTCAAATATGTAAATATCTTTAAACAAGTTCTTCAGAAATACCAGGAGGCCCTGGGTGATGATATTTGACCAGTAGCATGCTGGAATAGAGAAGTAGTAAGCTTTATTTAGTCTGGAATATTCTTAAGCCAAGTAGACTAAATATATGGAAATATTTAAAATAGTATTTTCATTGAGAATATTTTCCCATGATTGCTCAAATATCCAAGTGAGCGATACAGGCCCTATGGGCCTCTTGTTTTTATTGTTTTCCTATCAAATAAAAGGTAGTAATAAAAGTTCGAAGTGACCTGTTTTTGCCTCATTTCCTGAGAGCTTCTTCAGATATAAAAGAAGTGTCTTATATTTGCTACCCAAATACTGATGACATCAACAGACATGTAGTATGTTCACAGCCATACAGGAAAGATGATAGAGTACAGACAGTGTTCCCATAGAGAAACAGGACCCTGGCAATAGTTGAGTACAGACAGTGTTCCCACAGAGAAACAGGACCCTGGCAATAGTTGAGTACAGACAGTTTTCCCATAGAGAAACAGGACCCTGGCAATAGTTGGAGTACAGACAGTGTTCCCATAGAGAAACAGGAACCTGGCAATAGTTGAGTACAGACAGTGTTCCCACAGAGAAACAGGACCCTGCCAATAGTTGAGTACAGACAGTGTTCCCATAGAGAAACAGGGCCCTGGCAATAGTTGGAGTACAGACAGTGTTCCCATAGAGAAACAGGAACCTGGCAATAGTTGAGTACAGACAGTGTTCCCACAGAGAAACAGGACCCTGGCAATATTTAATGAACAATAATCCAAACATGTGAATGTATTATTCTCCTTTCAACCACATCAGTGATGTAACAACTCATTTCATCGGTAAATAACCATGCATCATTGAAAAATAAATCGTGCATTATGGATGTCATATTCCGTCTTTGTGTATTGCAGAGTTATCTTCTCTTGAGAACAGGTATTGATTGTTAAGTCTTTGGTTTGTGTGAGAAAATTACGTCGTTTTCTCAAAAATTGATGACGTTCCTCTCACAAACAAATGACGTAATAATCAATATCTGTTCTCAAGAGAAGATAACTCTGCAATACGCAAAGACGGAATAATCCAACAAACTTAATGCACTTGTATCACTCCTCCAAAAAGCCCCCCTGTTTTGCTTGTGTAAATATGCGAGCAATATAAGATTTGTCTTGGGCGAATATGCTTTGTTGAATGACGCTAGGTGCATTCATGAAGATATCTATGTATACACATTAAACTGACACAATGTAACCATCCACTGCCTGTGCATGTAGTGTTCAGAAACAATGACATCAGCTGACATTTTGTGTGCGAAGAACTGCAGCTGAATTACATGTTTCAAATACTAGTAGATTATCTAGGTTACGTTGCCGGTTATGCACTGAATAAGAAACAAGTTCAAGTTCATCTTGTGGGAGAATAGATTTGCTTAGATGATGAGTTTGATAGATGTCAATTAAGATACTGGACTTACTCTGTATACACAGTCCATTCTTTGTAGACACCCTGAGTGAAAATGAAAGGCAGCAACGATGGTCTCTTGAGACCAGCAACAAACTTTTAAAATTACAACCGAAACTTAAAACATCTGTTCCCAGTCGGAAAGATTGTAGAAAGGAAGTTGTCCTCTCTTGGCTCCGCACTGGGCACACATATCCTACTCATCCTACTCATTCGTACCTTTTAAAACAAGAAGACCCACCTCATGTCGCGCATGTCCATCACCTTTAATTGTATTCTTTATCTCTAACATGTCGTACCGAAAGTGCTTGTTGCTACAGTATCCTACCCTCCCGGCACAATAACTTAATCAACCGTTGGCCTAACTCACCTGTAACCGTCCATCACTATGCTACAGTATCCTACCCTCCCGGCACAATAACTTAATCAACCGTTGGCCTAACTCACCTGTAACCGTCCATCACTATGCTACAGTATCCTACCCTCCCGGCACAATAACTTAATCAACCGTTGGCCTAACTCACCTGTAACCGTCCATCACTATGCTACAGTATCCTACCCTCCCGGCACAATAACTTAATCAACCGTTGGCCTAACTCACCTGTAACCGTCCATCACTATGCTACAGTATCCTACCCTCCCGGCACAATAACTTAATCAACCGTTGGCCTAACTCACCTGTAACCGTCCATCACTATGCTACAGTATCCTACCCTCCCGGCACAATAACTTAATCAACCGTTGGCCTAACTCACCTGTAACCGTCCATCACTATGCTACAGTATCCTACCCTCCCGGCACAATAACTTAATCAACCGTACTCACCTGTAACCGTCCATCACTATGCTAGATTGGTTCTCTCTACATGTGATATGCAAGTATGACAAATGATGAAACAAACTATAGTTGTTGGATGGGACAGGTTGACTGATTAGGAAGACTAGAATGTCACCTACCCTGTCATACTTTAGTAGTCTCTCTCACAAAGATGTTTTGATAGAACTGGAGTTTTAGCTGACCTAGCATGAAGGGCCAAGTGAGCTTATACAGTAGCACAGCATTTGTCCATCAACTATTATTTTAAAACCGTGCCACATGTCTAGAATAGATGAGTGGATTCTAGGGCCAAGCATACTCTGTCTCTATGTTACGTTGTAAAACACGAAGGTCTGCCCCTTGATTACTAGCTTGTAAAGGGAATACTGTATACAAATTGTTGAGCATGTGACAAGCAGTTGTGTTATACAAGATTCGCATTGTAACTGGCTTTTTCCAGGAGTTTTTAGCTTACCTGCCCTTATTTAGTCTGGAGCATCCTTGGTCCAAGGGGACTCACTTTTGTATGTGATCGATACAGGCCCTCTGGGCCTCTTGTTTAAGTACTTGTCCAAAGACCTGATGTATAATGTTAATAACCAGACAGGTAGGCACACACAGTGTCTGATTAATAGCTCAAGTAATTTTCAACAGATTAACTTCAAATTTTAACGAAAGGTTAACTACCATGAGAGGTCAGGCAAGTTTGATAACCACCATTGTCCGTCTGAACTTTACAGAGTTATGTCCCTTTATTCAATTGCTGAAATGGTGTCCACTCCATATCTTGAGTATTTTTAATGAATTAACTTCATAGGAAGATTAATTACCACGAGAGCTGATCAGACAGGATGGAAAACCACCATTATCCTAATGTAATTTATGGAGTTATGCCCCCTGAATCAATAATGTAAAATATAGTTACGACAATATTTAGAGGACTCCACCTTGTATAAACAGGACAGTGAGCCTTCTTGGGGCAAAAGGGTGAGGTCCAATAGGGGGAAATAAAGTACTTTCAAACCTTACTCAGTCGGTACAGAGGATGTTTGGCTCCACAGCTTCACTACTAAAAATTATGGAAGTTCCCTTTATACCCCATGTACTCTAGATAGGCATAAAGTTGATCAACCTACCATTTATAAATCAGATTGGACAGATTCCAATTTAGAAATTTTTGTTACAGGTTGTCTTTTATTTATCAGCTAGTCTATATTCTAGCTGCTGTACTTATGTAGTAGATACCACTATGACAAACTTTGCACAGTTAGATATTAGTTGCTTCAAGCTAATCACATAAACTGATCGAGATACTGACTATGGATCTAGAATTTTTTAAAGGGGAAGTAAACTCTTGTATTGTAGCCACAGATCGAGTAGCACCACGCATTGTAATATCAGTATAATACTCCTTTATCAATTATCTTGAGGGTTGACCTCAGTTAATCTCATGTGAACATTGGATGGATTAGTAGACTCCTAGGTCAAAGTCCCATGGGATATTGTGTTGTTCTGTTTACCCTGACCAGAGTAAGCCTGCCCCTAATGAGCTAGACTTAGTGACCAGAGGGCAGTCAGAAAGGTCACTAAAGATCTTGCTTTTGGCTTCTGTATCAGGCACTTGGTAATGGGGGTCAGGATGAAGGATTCACTACTGGGTAATATATATCACTGGCCCAAGGTCACAAATGTCTGTTTCTAAAATTTGAAAATGTTCCAGAGCAAAGAAGATGCTAATGTAATAATTTTCATACATTAAAAAAATAAAGTTTTACCAGAATATACACTTGTACACAATTAAAAGTAAAACATCACATATTTACCCATAAACATTTCATACCAGGGGGTATGTACCTATAAAAATCACATATTTACCCATAAACATTTCATACCAGGGGGTATGTACCTATAAAAATCACATATTTACCCATAAACATTTCATACCAGGGGGTATGTACCTATAAAAATCACATATTTACCCATAAACATTTCATACCAGGGGGTATGTACCTATAAAAATCACATATTTACCCATAAACATTTCATACCAGGGGGTATGTACCTATAAAAATCACATATTTACCCATAAACATTTCATACCAGGGGGTATGTACCTATAAAAATCACATATTTACCCATAAACATTTCATACCAGGGGGTATGTACCTATAAAAATCACATATTTACCTATAAACATTATGTATGTACCTATAAACAGTGTAATAATAATCTTTAAACTGTGAATGTATTTATATCTTGTGTTTCTCCAGTAGGATATGTCATAGTGTTGATATCTTGTGTATTTCCAGAGGGGCGTGTAAGTTGTTTTTTGCGTCGGATCCCCTGAAGATTGTGCGTGCCTCTGGTCAGTACATGTATGACGAGCAGGGCCAGCAGTACCTCGATTGTATCAACAATGTGTGTCATGGTGAGTATCTGATACTATATTTATCACAGTGTTTACCAATCTATAACCAACCAAATAGCTATAGCAGACATAGCATCATAAATGCCATCGTCATCATGACATCATCAGGATAACGCCACGGCACAGCAATGTATTGTATCCTTGAGCAACATACTTTACTCCGCTTGTTTCCAGTCTACTGGTCTAGTCTACTTACACGCCCCTCTGGAAATACACAAGATATCAACACTATGACATATCCTACTGGAGAAACACAAGATATAAATACATTCACAGTTTAAAGATTATTATTACACTGTTTATAGGTACATACATAATATGATTGGTAACATTAAGAATGTGGTTANAGACCTACGAACTAGGTTGGGATAAAGCGGTATGTAAGAACCTCCAATTTTTATTATTATTATTATAACATGTATACTGCTGAACCATGTAAGTAGATCGAAGGCTGTTCAATTATTGAAAGATCATATTGAGCTTTTGCATGTACCATTAATGCATGCAAAGAGTACAGTAACTCAAGTTAAAATGTACATTTCTTATATTTATACATGTACGTATATCCACTGTAACCATTTTGAAAAAAATATTGATTTACAATACAAATTTCATCTTGCAATGTATCTTCAGGGATGTGCTATTTTATATTCAGAGTACTGCTGCTACATGTATGTAGTTTGAGCTGTATTTCAATACTGAATATTGAAATTTTCACAAGTCTGAAATGAAACCCACTAGCCTTGGGTGTCAGCCCAGTGGCATATTCTACATCCTTAATCTTACAAAATTGTTATTGCTCAAACAGAAAAGAAATCAACAGGAAATACCGGGGTCAAACCCTTGACCTATCTTTTACCAGTTCTACACTCTACTCATTTGTTTTTCAGGAATTTAAATACACATCTTCAAAATGAGAGTTTCATCTATATAAAAGGTTAGAAAACACTGCTGAGGTGGAAGTCATTAATGATTTGGTGCAGTACTAGTGCTATACTTTACATTAAATGTCAGCTTGGTTAAGTTTTAATACAACACATTATATCTTTTTTTGTGATTTTCTTTTTATCCAGTGAGTGATTAAACAATGTGATTTAATGTTCAGTTGGACATTGCCATCCGGATGTGGTAGAGGCTGGGTACAAACAGATGCAGGTTCTCAACACAAACTCCCGCTACCTACATGACACCCTTGTTCTCCTAGCAAAGCGACTCACAGAGACCATGCCTGGCAAATTATCTGTTGTGTACTTTGTTAACTCAGGGTAAATATTTGCAAAATACTGAGCTTTGTTAGACCACTTGTAATTGACACAATGGCAAGAAATGATTTTGATGAATGTATCAAGTTTCAATACATATGACATACTTTTTAGTTCATTTTCTTACGTATCATGATATCCTTATTACACCCACCTTACAGTTGTTTGCAATTTTGCATGCTTGTGACTGTTTAAATATTTGCAATTGTTATGATGTAACTGCTAATAACCTTAACATTTCAATATAAAACTTCAGAGATAAGCAAGTCGTGACTAGGTTTAAGGTCAGATGAAGTGTACACTAATCATTGTGTGAATTGTAGGTCAGAGGCAAATGATCTGGCCATCCGGTTGGCCAAACATCACACAAGAGGAACAGAAATGCTGACCCTTGACCAGTAAGTTGCCCCTTTATTTGCAAAACTGACCTATCAATTAATATTTTAAATTTAATAAAATTTAATCTTTTTAATGTTTTTGAGAATATTAATCATATTGATGATTACCATTTTCCATTTTCAGCGCTTACCATGGCCATGTTGTTTCTGCATTGGAGGTCAGTCCATACAAGCTAAGACAACAGGTTGATGATTCTCATCCCCCTCCTGACCATGTACACTGGGTAAGCAGATATCACCTTTCTCTTCCTCTCTAATATAACTTGATTATTATGGTCTTGATAAATATGTTAGAAAAAAACCTACTGAGTATAACAGACAACCCTCAACTGACCGCATACACTAAGTAAGCGGACATGCCTTCACCTCCCCCACCTAACTTGATTATTGTATACTGGTTATAAAACACAACCCTCACCTGATCACATACACTGAATATAACAGACAACCCTCACCTGACCAGGAACACAAGATATAACAGACAACCCTTACCTGACCAGGTACACTGGATATAACAGACAACCCTCACCTGACCACGTATACTAGATATAACAGACAACCCTCACCTGACCAGGTACACTGGATATAACAGACAACCCTCACCTGACCACGTACACTAGATATAACAGACAACCCTTACCTGACTAGGTACACTGAATATAACAGACAACCCTCACCTGACCACATACACTAGATATAACAGACAACCCTCACCTGACAAGGTACACTAGATATAACAGACAACCTTCACCTGACCACATACACTAGATATAACAGACAACCCTCACCTGACTAGGTACACTGGATATAACGGACAACCCTCACCTGACCACGTACACTAGATATAACAGACAACCCTCACTTGACCACATACACCAGATATAACAGACAACCCTTACCTGACTAGGTACACTGGATATCACAGACAACTCTCACCTGACTAGGTACACTGGATATAACCGACAACCCTCACCTGACCACATACACTAGATATAACAGACAAACCTTACCTGACTAGGTACACTAGATATAACAGACAACCCTTACCTGACCAGGTACACTAGATATAACAGACAACCCTCACCTGACAAGGTACACTAGATATAACAGACAACCCTCACCTGACCACATACACTAGATATAACAGACAACCCTCACCTGACTAGGTACACTAGATATAACAGACAACCCTCACCTGACCACGTACACTAGATATAACAGACAACCCTCACCTGACCACGTACACTAGATATAACAGACAACCCTCACCTGACCACATACACTAGATATAACAGACAACCCTCACCTGACCACGTACACTAGATATAACAGACAACCCTCACCTGACCACGTACACTAGATATAACAGACAACCCTCACCTGACCACATACACTAGATATAACAGACAACCCTCACCTGACCACGTACACTAGATATAACAGACAACCCTCACCTGACCACGTACACTAGATATAACAGACAACCCTCACCTGACCACATACACTAGATATAACAGACAACCCTCACCTGACCACGTACACTAGATATAACAGACAACCCTCACCTGACCACGTACACTAGATATAACAGACAACCCTCACCTGACCACGTACACTAGATATAACAGACAACCCTCACCTGACCACGTACACTAGATATAACAGACAACCCTCACCTGACCACGTACACTAGATATAACAGACAACCCTCACCTGACCACGTACACTAGATATAACAGACAACCCTCACCTGACCACGTACACTAGATATAACAGACAACCCTCACCTGACCACGTACACTAGATATAACAGACAACCCTCACCTGACCACGTACACTAGATATAACAGACAACCCTCACCTGACCACGTACACTAGATATAACAGACAACCCTCACCTGACCACGTACACTAGATATAACAGACAACCCTCACCTGACCACGTACACTAGATATAACAGACAACCCTCACCTGACCACGTACACTAGATATAACAGACAACCCTCACCTGACCACGTACACTAGATATAACAGACAACCCTCACCTGACCACGTACACTAGATATAACAGACAACCCTCACCTGACCACGTACACTAGATATAACAGACAACCCTCACCTGACCACGTACACTAGATATAACAGACAACCCTCACCTGACCACGTACACTAGATATAACAGACAACCCTCACCTGACCACGTACACTAGATATAACAGACAACCCTCACCTGACCACGTACACTAGATATAACAGACAACCCTCACCTGACCACATACACTAGATATAACAGACAACCCTCATATGACCACATACACTAGATATAACAGACAACCCTCACCTGACCACGTACACTAGATATAACAGACAACCCTTACCTGACCATGGATACATGTATGGCAGACTTCATCTTCCCAAACCCACATAGTTCCAGGCCTCTAGTTTGGATTTGGTTTTGGATGTCTGGTTCATTACCATTAAGTTTTTTCTCCGTGCCTTTGTGAGGCTGGACTGAGGTCATCAACATCTGATGGGCAAGCACTCTAATATTGTAATGAATACAAAAGTGATAAGATGACTGACAGATTGAGATATGGGGCTCCCTATAGAGCATCAGTTCGTGTAGTTAGACTTCTGACTGTCCTTGTGTCCCTGCAGACTACTAGAGTGGAATTTCCACTATACCCAAATTCTGCAGTACTGTGGTCTAATTTCTATGTTATGGTAGCCAAGTACATATGTTTTGCTCATAAAGAGGAAGAAGATTATTGATCCTAGGATCAAACATTCCCTTACCATAGGAAAAACTGCCATTGTCAAAAGTTACTGAATGAAAAGTGTGTTTCTAGCCTTTTGATATTCCTAACCCCTTACAACTAACTGTAGAAGTAGAATGCTACAATGTGTGCCAGAGACCTGAAACCCTCAGAGATGTATACATTTTTGGCTCGGTATGATATAGCCACACTGATCATGATGTGACAGAGGATGTATAATTAATGACATGTACAATACAAGGATTAAATGAAAACATGATACAAATCTACTGGTAATGCTAGTCAGTAATGCTAGACTACACATTATCGATGCAGTCCCTACTGCCTACTTCTAGTGAGATGTTCTCTAAAATTTGAATGGGATATTGATTTTTTTCATGTAGCCTGAATATTTTGTTTGATATCACAGTTAAGTACATTTGTGCAGTTCATTTATTGTGTTGCCTGCGAAAAGCTGGTGACACATAGGTATTGCTATGTCGGCGTCGGTGTCGGCGTCGGTGTCAGCGTCGTCGTCGGCGTCGTCCGCACAGAGGTTTTCGTGCGGTAACTTGAGTTTCCTTGGGCCAATAATACTCAAACTTCATGCAGTGCTTCCTTACGAAACGTGGTTGCTTGGGATTGCTTTTCCGGTCCGAAGGTCAAAGGTCAAGGTCACTGTTACTATAAATAGAAAATCTGTTTTCGTGCGATAACTTGAGTTTCCTTGGCCGATCAAACTCAAACTTCATGCAGTGCTTCCTTACCAAAAGTGCTTGCTTGGGATTGCTTTTCAGGTCTGAAGGTCAAAGGTCACTGTTACTATAAATAGAAAATCTGTTTTTGTGCGATAACTTGAGTTTCCTTGGGCCGATCAAATTTCAAACTTCATGCAGTGCTCCCTTACCAAAAGTGGTTGCTTGGGATTGCTTTTCAGGTCCGAAGGTCAAAGGTCAAGGTCACTGTTACTATAAATAGAAAATCTGTTTTTGTGCGATAACTTGAGTTTCCTTGGGCCGATCAAATTTCAAACTTCATGCAGTGCTCCCTTACCAAAAGTGGTTGCTTGGGATTGCTTTTCAGGTCCGAAGGTCAAAGGTCAAGGTCACTATTACTATAAATAGAAAATCTGTTTTCGTGCGATAACTTGAGTTTCCTTGGGCCGATCAAACTCAAACTTCATGCAGTGCTTCTTTACCAAAAGTGCTTGCTTGGGATTGCTTTTCAGGTTCGAAGGTCAAAGGTCAAAGGTTAAGGTCACTGTTACTATAAATAGAAAATAACTTTCGACATTTTTTCTTGAAATGAAAAGTGTATCTATTTCTTCGTAATCTCCCAGCTATATACATAGCTCTATGAGTGACATTTTGTGCAGTTCATTTATTAGCTCACCTGGCCCAAAGGGCCAAGTGAGCTTATGGCATGGTGCGGTGTCCGGCATCCGTCCGTCCAGCATCAACTTTTTACTTTAAACAACTTCTTCTCAATAACCAAGAGGCACTGGCTGATGATATTTAGCCAGTAGCATGCTTGGATGAAGGGCTACCAAGTTTGTTCAAATGAATGACCTTGACCCACTTTCAAGGTCACAGGGGTCAAATGTCTTAAAATCTTCTAAAAACTTCTTCTCAATAACTAAAAGGCCCAATGTACTGATATTGGGCCTGTAGCATGCTGGGATGAAGGGCTACAACGTTTGTTCAAATACCAAGTTTGTTTAAATGAATGACCTTGACTCACTTTCAAGGTCTCTAGGGTCAGATGTCTTAAAATTTTCAAACGACTTCTACTCAATAACCAAAAGGCCAAGGGTACTGATATTGGGCCTGAAGCATGCTGGGATGAAGGACTGCCGAGTTTGTTCAAATGAATGACCATGACCCACTTTCAAGGTCACAAGGGTAAAATGTCTTAAAATCTTCAAACAACTTCTTTTCAGTAACTAAAAGGCCCAAGGTACTGATACGGGCCTGTAGCATGCTGGGATGAAGGTCTACCAAATTTGTTCAAATGAATGACCTTGACCCATTTTCAAGGTCACAGGGGTCAAATATGTTAAAATCTTCAAAACACTTCTCAATAACCAAAAGGCCCAGGGTACTAAAATTGGGCCTGTAGCATGCTGGGATGAAGGACTACCACGTTTGTTCAAATGAATGACCTTGACCCACTTTCAACCTAATGTCCTTGTTCGACATTCAAGGTCACAGGCGTCATATGTTTAAATCTTTTAATAGGTTCTTATGAATCAAACACTGATATTCTGCCTGTAGCTTTATTTTAGTCCACTTTTAAGATTACAAGTGTGAGATTAATACCTTGTGAGCGATGCAGGCCTATTGGGCATCTTGTATAAATATCAGAGTTTAGATAACACAGTTATACGTACATAGATATATGAGTGACATTTTGTGCGGTTCATTTATGTGTTAAGAGTTCTGACATGGTGACAATTTTAACATTCCAA